GAAAGTGAGGATGGGGCTGGCCAGTCAAGGGCTTTGGGTGCCTTGTTATGGAGTCTGAATTCTAATTTAAAACAGAAACTATTGGAAGATCTCCAGTGGTCGAATGCCTATGGTTTGGTTTTTGTTTTTTTTAAAAAAGGATGCATTAGAAGAAATGCCTCATTAGGAATCAGTCAGAGGATTTTACAGAGGATATGACAGAAGTCTGGGCCAGGCAGTGTGATGGGCATGGAGAGACGGGTTCTCTTTGAGTGTGTGTGCGTGTGTGTGCGCACATGTGTGTTAATGGTCAAGCAGGAGACTGGGCTTCAGCCAAGGGCTTGGCGGCTTTGGCACTCTGAGGCAAAGTGAGAGCCAGAGCCGAGGCCCAGGTGTGGAGATGCTTGCTGTGCTTGCAGAATGAAAGTAGCAGCCAACATCTGTTGAATACTTAGCTGTATCACCCCATTTCATCCTCCTCATGTCTGTGTGGAAATGGCTCTGTTGTTGCCATCTTTGACAGTTGAGAAAAGGGTGGCTCAGAGAGGTTGGGTAACTTCCCCAGTTAGTGAGAGGGTGATCCATGACCTGGATTTAGGTTCGTGTGACCCCGAGCTCTGCACTGCACTTTGAGTGAGAGAAACCTTGTGCTCGCAGAAGTGGTGTATGGCCACTGGCATCAGAATCCTCCGAGGAGTTCATGAGAGGTGCAGGTCCCAACTCCATCTCTTGCCCTAACTTGAATTTACTGAATCAGAATCTTGACAGGTTTGAGAACCACCTCTGTAGGGATCAAGGACTTCAAGTGTTTCTCACATTTCTTCCTCCACTCCAGCCCAGGCCCCAGAATCTGAATTGCTCCAGAGATATGAACGTTTGTAATCTGTTGTTTTCAATTAGTAGTACATTCACAAGGCTAGGAAAACAAAAATGATTGACAGTGATAAACATTGTGAAATGTCACTCTCAAATCCATCCCATCTACTTTGTTCCTCCCAATCCCTCAACAAGTAATAACTATTAGTAATTTCTCATGTATCTTTCATTGTTTTTAAGCAAATATGAATATGTATCATTTCCTCTTTTCTTACACAAAAGTAGCATGAAATATACACTGTTTTGTACCTTGCTTTAAAAAATTAATATATGCTAGGGCTCTTTTATAATATCCATATGTAGAAAGTATCCTCACTTTTAAAATTGCTGCATAATTATTCATTGTGAGGATATATCAGTGTCTTTCGTCAGTTCTGTACTGATAACCAGTGGGTTGTTCCCAGTCTTCTGCTCCTAGAGATAATACGATAATGAATAATCATATACGTATGTCATTCAGTAGCTGTGAGATAAATTCCCAGAATTGAATTGCTGGGTCAAAGGTTAAATAAAACATTTGTCATTTTGCTTCTTTGGGGTGAACCACTTTGGATCACAACCAGCAACATCACAGCCTTTTAGCTGGTGTCTTTCTAATCTAGAGTAGGAGATCTTACCCAGTTAGACACAATACCCCCTTGACCACCCAAACATGAAATTCTAAGACAATATAACCTACTCAAAGTCAGAATTAAAGAAAAAAAAATATCATGCTTTATCTGGTAAAATAAAATAAAATAAAGTAAAGTAAAATAAAATAAAAGTTATAATAAAATAAGAGGTACTTCACTTACGTGAAATGCTCATGCAAGATTATACCAAAATATGTAAGGAAGTAGTTAGATGCTTGTGCCTATATTTGGACTAACTGGATACCCTAAATGAAGACTGATACTGATGTTCTCTTGGTGATTCAGGACCCATGAGCACAGTTGCCATTGGAGAAGTGATTTTCCAAAATGGTAAAACAAACAAACAAACAAACAAACAATTCTCTTGGTAAGGTTCTGAACAAAACAGAAGATAATCTTCCCTTTATTTACACAGAGGTTGCATCCCGGGAAAATTCAGTGTTATTAAAACCATGCAAACAATCTTTTGTATTTATATATGAAATGGGTTTAAGTTCTAGATTCAGATGATTATAAGGAGGCTTTTCTCCTACTTGAATGTCCAGTGGGACATTTGAAAGTCCTATGGGTCACAACAATTCTCATGTGGGATTGTCCTGCTCTCATCCACTAAATGCCAGTAGGACTCCAAGCCATTGCAACAAAGTGAAGAGTCCCAACTGTTCATTGCCCTCTCCAGCCCTGAGAACTGCTGCTGTGGGGTCTCCTCTGGAATCCATTCCATAGACCAGGATTCAGTGAATGTTTCTAAAACATTCATCTCTGTTTCATTATGTTTCACTCTGTTCAGACCCCTCCAGAGCTACAACATCCTCAGCTGATGGGACAGGGTGTGCAGGTCCACTGGCTGGATTCAGTGCTTCAGCTGACTGTTAGGTATTGAAATACAATTATTTTTGGGGGGTGCAAAGAACAAGTAGGGCCCAATGCCTGATGTTGCACTTGGCATATTGAAAGGTGCTCCTGGTCACTTGTCCTGATGTGGCTGCACAAACCCCAAATTTTTGTGATACTTGACGTTCTGGATTTAATTATCAGATAGTTTAAATATTTTTATTCCTGAGAGAGGAGGAAATGTTTAGTGGGATCCATGTTACATGTATTGTGCATGATACTATTAAAGATAGTCTATGTGTAAGTTTCTGAGGCTCAAGATGCCACTTCCCTGCGACTGTGATGCCCTGTCGGGGCTCTTCTGGTTACTCTCTAGTTGCCAAGAAATGCCTACTAAGTTCAATGCCTGGGTCAGGCTTGCAGACCATAATGACTTCATCATAAAATGTCCTCATGACCGTGGTGCCCATGTGGCTCTCAAGATAACCTAGCAAATGGTTGTTTAAATATGACTAAGCTGTATTATTCTGGTGTGCCTCGATTTTCCCCATCAGTGAATAGGGATAGCAATAGGATGGCTGCTACAGGTATTATTTTGTCACATATATGATATGTGACCCCTGGCAAAGTTTATAATTATGCATTTATCACTGTGGCTTTTGGAGCAAAGCCCGTCTCTATCGCTAGTGAATTAATTCTGTGAAGTCATGTTTTTGCTCCCCATTGGGTCTCCAGCACATCCCATCATCCTATCACTGGATGAATGAGGGACTGCGTGAGGGATGTTATGTAGATATCATACAGGTAAGGGCTTGGAGTCTTTTATTAACAAGGGATAGTATACTTTCACTCACTCACTCACTCACTCACTCACTCACTCACTCCCTCCCTCCCTCACTCACTAGTTTAGAAAAAAGAGATCCCTGGGTTCTGACAGGAAAATTAATTTTCACCCAGCCCCCAGTTGGAGCAGCAAAGCCATCCCGACCACTTGCCCCGGGGTCAGGCGCGCTGGCTCCGTTGTAACTGCTAGCACGCTTCCTCACGCGGGAGGTGTGCACAGGAGCGGAGAATTCATTATAACCGGTTAGTCATCCGTGGAGATTGTAGACACTGCCCGGGGGCAGGACGCACCTGGCGCTTCCCGGGTGGGGCCTGTTCCCTGCGCTGCGCCCCTGGATGGGAGCGTGACCGGCTCGCAGGAACCCGGGGTCTCCCCGAACTTAAGAAAAAGCACCAATGCCCCCGCAGCGGCCTATCTCCCCACAATGCCAACTCTGAGATCAAACCCAGCATCTGCTGGGGTAACTTTTCCCAGGGACTGCCGGGCAGGAGAGCCGGCCAGGATCCTCGCCGACACCGCGGAGGCCAGGGCCCACCCTGACCTCCCTGAAGCTGGGGGTGCGGAGGCAGAAGGCAGGGACAGGAGCCCGCCGAGCCCTCGGTGCGGGGGCACGCAACTAAGGCGCACCGGGGCGGCGGACGCCCCGGGAGACCCCGCGACGTCAGGAGCGCTCGGCTGGTCCAGGATGACTCAGCCTCACTGGGGTCTGTCTCTCCTGCCAGCCGGCTCGAGGGTTCCGCAAAGTTCCCAGTCACACCCCAGACTCGCATGGGAACCGGGGGCTCCGAAGCCGCGGGGAAGCCCAGTAGTCAGGGCGCCGGGGGTACCCCGACTTCTTTCAGCTCGCCCTTCCTCTGCGGGCCGCTCCAGTGCGCCTCCGCCCGTGGCGGGGTCCGAGCGGAGAGAGGGTGACCCCCGGGTCTCAGAGGAGTGTTTTATTCCCAAACCAAGGGAGTCTGCCAGTCGGGAAGGACTTGGCGCAGAATTTGCTTCCCTGCCCAGCCCCGACATCCCGGCCACCGCCGCTCGCTGCAGCCCTGCGGACGCCGGGCCTCAGCCCGTCCGAGTGCGAGCTGTTCGGCAGCCCTCGCCCAGCTTCGGGCGCGCCAGGGCGGCTCTGCTGCGGGCCGACGCCGGGTCCCCACGCTGCGGCCGCAGCGCCGCCCGCCTGTCAGGCTCTGCGGCCGGAGGAGCCGCTGCGGGCGGCCACGCAGCCGTGCCCTCACCAGAACCGCTGAGCCCGGGTCCCATCCCCACGCCACTCCGCCCGCGTGCGACCCGGCTCCTTCTTCAGACTTCTGCCTCTTCGCCCGCCCTTCTTTCTGGAAAACTGCGCGGCGGGTGTGGGGGTCGCGCTACCTCCGGGCTCGGCGGCACCTGACCCGCCGCCCCTGACCCGGACTGGGCACGCGGCGCCGCCTGGGAGCTGTCACTGCCGAGTGCGGGGCGCTGCGCCCGCTCCCGGCCTCTCCTGCGCCCACACCCCTACCCCGGCTCGGGTCTCCAGGGCCGGGGGACGGCCCGGGGCCAGCCCAAGAGTCGCGCCCGCGTGGCGGACTGCGGAGTTGTAAAGAAGTCGGTGGCCGCAGTGGGCCGGGCGGGGCAGGACACGCTCCGCCGCGGCCAAGGACACTGGAGTTTGCGAGTCCCCGCCCGCGCGGCGCCTCCCACCCGCCCGCCGCGGCCGCCGGACTCCCCGGGGCCGCCGAGGCGGGGCCGGCCGCGCTGCTGCGAGAGGCGCAGTTCCCTCCCTCCTCCCCCGCCTGCCTCCCTCTCCACCTCCCTTCCCTCCCTCCTCTCCGCCCTCTTCCCCCCACCCCACCCCACTCGCTCCTTTTCTGCTCCTCAAGTGAGCCGGGCGCGCGAGAGCAGGCGGGCGGCGCGGAACTGGCAGCCCCGCGCGCTCGCCCACCGCCCGCTCCGCGCAGCTCCCTGCGGCCGCTCTCGTCGCCGCCGGCGCCTCGGAGGGAGCCCAGCATGGCCGGGCCGGGCTCGCAGCGCCGCGCGTCCCGGGGGGCCTGGGCGCTCCTCGCCGCCGCGCTTCTCTACGCCGCGCTGGGGGACGTGGTGCGCTCGGAGCAGCAGATCCCGCTCTCCGTGTAAGTGCCGGCTCCTGCGCCGCCCGGGGAGGGGACCCGGCCGCCGGCGACCCACTGTGCCCAAGTTTGGGCGCCTGCAGGTGCGGCTGGGCAGGACCTGCCGCGGGCGTCGGCCTCGCCGCTCGCACCTGCCTTCCAGGAGCGGAGCGGGGCGGCGAGGCTGGGGCGGGATCCTCTCGCCTCGACCCTCCGGTTGGGTGAGACCCGGAGAGCCTCCCCTCAAGTGACAGCACCAACTTTGAAACCTGTTTACCGAGCCCAACTTCCACGGGCCGTTTATTGACCCCCATCTTTGCTACCTTCACTTCTTTTTTGGGAGGGGGGATGGGTAGATTTTTTCTGACTAGTATTTGCTCGGTGATACCCATTTGGGGTGGGTAAGTTCTCAGGCAACTATTCAAATAAAACCCAGGGATGTTTTCAGAGAGCCTGGGAGACTTTGCGCATTTTGAACTATGTGACCCCCCTCGGGCCCCCTCCCGCGCTGCGCTCTGCAGTTTGGTGCTGGCAGTTTCTACCAAAGCGCGTTTTCTTTTATTTTTTTTCCCTCCAATGTACATCGCCGGGCTCCTTCAGGCACAGCCCATGTGTGCAAGTGCGTGCGTGTTGGCGGTGACACGGGTGTTACATTTGTTCCTGTGCCCTTTCTCCCTGTAGGGTGAAGCTCTGGGCCTCTGCTTTTGGTGGGGAGATAAAATCCATTGCTGCTAAGTACTCCGGCTCCCAGCTTCTGCAAAAGGTAAGGTTTCTGTGGTGGCAGGAAGCAAGGATTTTTCCAGCACAGAAAATGGAGGCAGTTTTAGTTTTCCGAACAAACGTGAACCCCAAGCAGCATCAGTTAGCAGAGGTGTCCCTGATCCCCAGGTTTCTTGGCAATGGACTATGCAGTGACTTCTCCCTACCAGCCGGTTATTTTTAGATGACACTTGATTCTAAACACAAAGAAAAGCAGGATACTCACTGGCACTGTCCTGGCTGGGGCTCTGAAACTGAGTGTTGCTGCACAGCTCTCCTCTCAGGTTCGGTATTGCTGCTTCAGTGTGAGAGCAGATGCTCCTCGGGCCAAAAAATGCTAACTTCATCCAAGGGGCAGAATCAGTGCCTATCTGATGATGTCTTTCACCTTGCTTGCCTGTGAGCTTGGGGTTCAGTGGATCAGAGAAAGATGCTGCACTATTGTTTGTCATCCCTGCAGTTGTACAATCCCATTATTCCCCAATCATCTAGACCCAGGGCTGGGATGCATTACATCATTACAGATAAGGAAAATGAATATGGTTATCTTTCCATTCAGCTGCACTGCCGAGTAATAACCTATGAGAGTCGTCCACAAACTTAAGAAATTGGTCTGTGTCCATATAATTCTGGAGAGTAATGAGAATGGAGAATTGATTATTAGGCTTTTATCAGAAGCGGCATCAATTTAAATTCAAACAGACAGCATTATGCTTAAAATTACATTGCAAGACATATGGTCCTTTGCTGTCCTCTCCAAGAAAAAAGAAAAACTGGTCTGGGAAGGAAAGATTAGAGGGGTTAAAAGAATTTCAAGTTAACAAATCAACAGGATTAACCCAAGTATTCTCTCAAAGATACAAAACAAAATTGGCCATGAGGGGATAATTCTCTGAAAATGGGTACAGACAGCTTAAATTGTTAAGTTAACTTTTAAGCATTTTTAAATGTGCTTTTTGGGCCAATGTAACATATGTGTTATGCATGCTGCCTGGTAACCAAGTACGTATTTTATTTATGGCATTCCACTTCACAGAGTAGCATTTTTGGGGACAGTATATGAAGCAGTTTGTCCCATGAAATTAAAATATCGTAATAAAAGATCAGCCCACAATAGAATGTTATTTTGGTTTAAAAATTCCCAATAGCTATATACTTTTTGAAACCATACAACGACTGTTTGCTCAACTCCATTAATTGGGGAAGGAGTTCATTGAATTATAGGCAGTTGATAGAAATTTAAGGCTATGATGTGCCTTTATGGATGATGATAATGTATATACCTGTGAACCTCCTCCTCTCAGTTTGTGAGAATTGCCTCTTTTGCTAGTATTCTTTTACTCTGGACCATTCTGTACCCTGCTTTGGCATTTTGCCCATGTGTCAGATGTTTTATGTGAAGAGTTCTGGATGATCGCATTGTCTGTGTATTTTTCTTATGCTTTTAAGGAAGAGAGTATTTGTATAACTTTAAAGAAATATTTTCATCTGCATGTTATAGTTTAGTTGTAACAACTCTGAAAGATTCCCTTTAGAGCCTGTGACTGTTTTCTTGGTTGTGCTTACCTATCTTCTATCTCACATTTTGTAGGAGCACGTGAAATATGTTTTTTCCTTCTTTTTGAAGTCAACACACACACACACACACACACACACACACACACACACACACTGCACAAAGCCCCATCAACCATATTATTGGCTTCTCTATAATAGCAAATTGGAAACAGTTAAAACGCTTCTCTTACCTTCTCATCAGCATCCTTTCTGATAGTGAATTCAGAAGCTTAGCTTTGCTTTTGTCATGTTTGCAGCTTGACAATTGTGTAATTATTTCCAGCTGTTTATGGCTTTGTTGTCATTTCTTGCTGTTGCCTGGCATTTTGTAATCTGATGTGAGGGGAAGGTGAGGTGTGGCCGAGCATTAGGTTCCAGGGTGGGTGTCTGCTCTCGCTCCTGGACCACAGTCATCTGCCGTGGAATCCTGAGATGCTGGGCAAGTATGTCCACGAATGATGGGCAGGGCACGCTCGACAACTTGCGGAGCATTTTTGCAGTAATCTTTGGGCTGTCTCGTCCCATTGCCCCCAAATAGGACTATTTTATAAATTAGCAAAGAACATTCATTTAGAGAGTTCAGAGGATGAATAAGAAAGGTCTGAGGTGCTGAGTGTGGGAGGCATAACATCATTTGGAAAAGCAAGGAGCCAGTTGCCTTTCTCTTGTTTATTTTCAAGTTTCTGGCCATTTACACGGGGAATTACTCCTTTAAGTCAAAACTCTATGCATCCTTCCATGACATCACTGGGTCTTAAACAGTTAAGATACTCTCAAAATGACTTAGAAAACTTAGTTGAAAAATGCATTAACACTGTGTTAAGAGGATTCAAAGGTGACAATACTGTGTTGCATAATAGACTGTAGTTACATTTTTAAGGCATGGACATTGGAACCTGAATTTTAGTTAAGTAAGGTATACTGGATGCCAATGTAAAATTTTATGTACTCTATTTTGTAGTTTCTCTAATTGACACTTCATGTTGTGATTGATGTACTATGTTTATCTTTAGCATGGGACTTTAGTACTTTTTGCATGAAGGCAAAAACTTTACAAAGTAGTTATTGTGAATATAAGTTAAATAATAATTGGCCATCTATTTTAAGGTGTGTGAAGACAGGGAAAACTGCCATTTTGGTATCAGGTTCTTATTAGGTAATTTAATTGGAGGTAGCGATATTATCGCTGACTTCAACGTAAATACAAATATTTAATAATGTACCTTATTGTCCTGGCTTCAGAAAAGAGAATACTTCTTTCACTGTTTCTCTGTTTAACACCATGGCCTTTTTGACTTTAGCCTATGATAATATATTAGGTATTCACTGCCAGACTTTTCTCATTTTTTCTCCTTTTTGTCTTTGCTGGGCACAGGAATAGCAGCCTTACAAAGAGGATATTTTTGATTTTATAGATGCAGTGGTGCGTGCTTGTGCAAAGTTGTGTCTTTGCAGTGCGGCACGGAGGACAGGGGAGCTGGAGGCTGCAGTCGGAGTTAATCTGGAGAGGTTTCACGGCAGCTGTAGGAGAGCGGGCCCGAGAGGAGCGTGCTGCTGTGTTGCTATGAGCCTGGGTGCTGCCCTTCCTTCGCTGCAGATACTGCAGGGGTTTCGATTCACTTCACCCTTTAATTAACTTTCCTATTTGACATATTCATGCCAGGATTCAGCTGCCTCTATCTCATTTCATTTTCCCCAAAGAATGTGCTTTGTTTGGGTTCTTTTGGGGAGGCATAGCTTCATTACCCCTCTAATACTGGGATTCAGTGAGAAGCATTCTAGTACGTCTAGTAACCTAGGCTGTTAAACTCCTGGGCTCCACAGCCCTAGCATTCACAAGGAAAGGCATTAAACTCGAGTGATTCTCATTTCATCCTCCTTGGGGACAATTTGTTGGGAGCTGGGTGTTTCATTCTATTTCGTCCTACATTCAGGGGGTGCGTGTTCATGGGAACGAAGGGTTCCAATTACATTTTTCAGAACTGCAATGAAAAAGACAACAAAAAGGCAGGTCGTGTGTGTCTGTGCCATTACTGCGAGAAAAGAATTGACATTTACCTCGGACGCCTCGTGAAGCACTTCTTGGAATGCACTGCCAGGTTTTTGTGTTCTCAGCTGTTTATTGACAAAGCGGCTTTAATACACAAAGTTGATGTCTCTTTCCACAGGACAGAGTCAGCAAAGTAAAAGGCTGGCTCTTTAAGCCATTTTGATAATTATGACTTTTTATCAATGTGGGAATCGATGGACTTTTGAATAATTGAATAGGAGTAGGCACTTGTCAGGCGCGGGGTAGCAGTGCAGTGCGGCCCCGAGGAGGCCTGGCGCTCACTCTGCACATTGCTTCTATGGGGGAGGTGCTACTTAGCTGAACATTTTTGTTGAATAAATACAGTTATGTGTCATCCTGAAGATGAATGCATTCAACCTATGCTGCCGATGCTTTAAGTCGCAGCACCACTTCAAGTACTGGACGTTTCTCTGGCAGATTATTTTTTACAGCCTTGAAATCTCAGAAGTGACAGTCTTCAATCTTTGAGGGCAGTTTATGGGTCTCGTTAGCCCAATCACCAGGACATTCTCACGGCAGGGTAAACCAGCTAAAATTCAGTTGGAACATCTTCCCCAGGCATCTGTCTCATTGCATCTGTGAACTGGCACATGGTCCCTTGCCATCCTGAGAAAGTTCTTTTCCTATGGCTTTGCTCAGTTTTCGTTTGAGCCCCTTGGTTTCTTTTTCTTTTTCTCAAAAATTCTTCTCTGCCAGGTATATCTCTGTTTGCCTTTTCTCTCATGAGGAACTGCTATAGTCTTTGTCACTCAGATCTGCACTGCTCGTCAAATAAGGGAAATTAAAATACAGGCATGGTTTTCTGGTCGGAGGCAAACTTCCGATTTTTATTTCAATGTGCTAATCAATTGTGATCAATTACTATGGTGATATCAAACTGATTTTCTTTTATATTTTATCCTAATACCAGGGTGCTTTTTAGGCAAACACACGTGTGCCAAACCACCAAATAATTATGAAATCTATCAGGCATGCACAATTAATGTTTCCAGTCTGTGATGAAGACATAGCTCTGTATCAGGATAAATACAACCATTACCCCGAGCACCTGTGGCCCTGCCAGGTGTTCCATCGTCCTGAAGTTTGAAGCATATATTCACGGAAGTGTGAGTTTGGAGTTTTAGCCTTTTTCTTTTTCAGTTTTTGATTGGTCCTTGTGGGGTGTTCAGTGCTTCCACTTAGGTTGCTCAATGAACGGCTTGGTGTGCTGGGCTCACTCCGAGAAGCCAACATTCTCACTGGTATCCTTTGCATCAGGCTGTCACTAATCCAGACTTCCTACCACAGGTGCCCACACGTGGGCTTTTTCTTCATCCAGGTGCACACCTCTGTGGCATGTATCTCAGGCACCCCACCCCCCTCTTTTGTAGTCACAG